GTCAATTTGGCCTTCCTCTGTAAAATAGTGCATTCCTCAGTAAATATTCATCCATGACATTGAAAAAAAAAAAAAAAAAATTGGAATGTTGGTAACCAAATGGTTTAGGTGACCTTTGACTTCAGTTGAATAGACAAAAAAGTCATTTCTTATAATATCATCTTTCATGTTTTACAAAAGAAGGTCATACAGGATTGTAACAACTTGAAGGTGAGGAAATGATGACAGCATTTTCAGTTTTGGGTTAACTATTATTTTCGGTTTCCTTCAGAGATACAGTGATATAAAAACACCCGTGCCACGTTTTGATTTTGAAACGTGCAGTGCTCATGTTTATTCAACGGAGTCAAAGCCTTTTGGGAAATCTGTTTGAGGTGGTCAGTTTTGATATCATGGCGAGCCGCCACAAATAAATTAATGTATGCGAAACGCATCCCACAGCACAACAACCTGAGCCCAACTTCAGTCTACTCATCAGTTTAATTTTAACTGCATTTGTAGTCGGCGCCACTAGCAAATCGATAAACAAACAGGTTAACTATGGGCCAGGCGTGTGTGCCCGATGAAGCCAGACCAATTCTCACTAATATTGCTTATTAGCATGCATGTTATTAACATATTGGTTGATTATTAGTACTTATAAAGCACATATTCTGCATGAGCATATTCTACATGCCTAATCCTACCCAATATCTAAACTTAACAACTACCTTTCTAACTTAAATGATGACAGAATTTTCAGTTTTGGGTTGACTATTACTTTCGGTTTCCTTCAGAGATACAGTGATATAAAAACACCCGTGCCACGTTTTGATTTTGAAACGTGCAGTGCTCATGTTTATTCAACGGAGTCAAAGCCTTTTGGGAAATCTGTTTGAGGTGGTCAGTTTTGATATCATGGCGAGCCGCCACAAATAAATTAATGTATGCGAAACGCATCCCACAGCACAACAACCTGAGCCCAACTTCAGTCTACTCATCAGTTTAATTTTAACTGCATTTGTAGTCGGCGCCACTAGCAAATCGATAAACAAACAGGTTAACTATGGGCCAGGCGTGTGTGCCCGATGAAGCCAGACCAATTCTCACTAATATTGCTTATTAGCATGCATGTTATTAACATATTGGTTGATTATTAGTACTTATAAAGCACATATTCTGCATGAGCATATTCTACATGCCTAATCCTACCCAATATCTAAACTTAACAACTACCTTTCTAACTATTAATAAGCAGCAAATTATGGGTTTAATGAGACAAAAGTTGTACCTAGTGGTTTGTTAATAATGAGAATTGGACCTTAAAATAAAGTGTGACCAAATATTAGTATATATTTTGACTTAAAATACTTTATTCATTCCATAATTTATTCATTCCATATAGTGTACAAACCATCAAGGTATAATATTTTTATTGTACCATAAAAATATTTTAGTATTATTTATATAATATTATAGATTTATAGATATTTTATTAATATTATAATATTATAGATTAACATTTTGAATTTGAATTGTTAATTTAATTTTAATTTTGATCGATTTTAAAAAAGAATTCAGTTTTAGTTTTATTTTAGTGTTAGTACTTAAACTTATTTCAGTTTGTTGACCAGACAACATTTCATCTAATATTTTTCATCTAATATTTATATTTTAGTTCAGCTTTATTTTGATTAGCAAAAATGTTTTTAATAGTTTTAATTATCAGTATCTCTTATAGCATTGCGTTGAGTAGCCAGACAACAACATTGTCTCAACCAATGGCCTGAGTTTGAGGCCCTATATCTTATAATATAGGCCCTTCTACTGATAATATCTTATCTCTTTGATTGTCTGACCAAAGAGATAAGATATTATTTATTTGATTTATTTACATTTAATTTGAAGCTGCTAGTGGTTCAGAAATTTAATCATGAACAGCTTTTAAATAATTTGTATACAGTTTATGTACCACGTAACAAAGATCGTATATCAATAGTACATGCCTTCACATGTCCCGGTAGATTTCTGTTGCATGCGTCTTTGTGCTCATGTAGCTCGTTAACATTTTATGGAGCATTAAAGCAAACTTAAGAGGGGCTTTTCCATCTGTAATGCAGTCAATAATCTTTCCCATTCCCAGCTAAGGCATGTCCAGCTGCTGCTGCTCTAGAGGAGTGGAGAACTTGTAATGATCATCCATGCATCACATTCTACTGGGAAGCGTCGCCATGGGGACCATGCATTGAGGACTCCTCCATGAATCTAAATGACACCGGCTACTGGAACGGAACGACCACCTGTGCAGGCGGGGTGCAGATTCGTAAAGTGGTCTGCATGAAAATGGGCGTCGGGCCAGTCATTCCCAAAAGGTGCCTTATTTTTATGTATGAAATTTATAATCTGTGGATTTGTAGATTTCCGCACAGCACACTAAAAGTGTTCACAGTGGCATTTTGTGGAGGTTAGATTATTAAAGCACATAGATTTTCCGCCAGTGCTCATAGTATGAAGTTGAAATGGTATATTTTACTAGTCTGTGGTGATCACTGCTTTTAATTTTAAATAGCAGTAAGCACTTACTCTATCGGTCAGATAGAGGCAATAAGGCTTTGTTCAAACAGGCAGCAAAATCAGATTTTTTTTTTTTTTTGCAAATCTAACTTAAATCTCTTTGTTTGTAGTCTGAACAGCAAAAAACCTTATTGAAAATCTATCCTTTTGTGATTTTAAATCTGATTAAAATCAGATTTTGGAAATGCGCTTCATTCAGTACAGTGAGATCATATTTCCTTTTGATTTTTCATCATTCGGGATCCGGTGTGACTAATATACGCAATTTAGTCGTAGATGTAGGCACTACTGCACTTTATCTAATTCACACGCATATGTGGCATTCACTATGTATGAATGAACAAATAAGGGAATGGTTTCGGACACGCCATACAGTATGTATGAATGAGCAAAATGTGGTAATGCCTTTAATGCTTATTAAGGGGGGTTCAATATAAAAACATGACAACAGCTTAACCAGCACCTTGTAATTAATTGTAAAATACATTAAAATACCTCATTAAATATGTGCTGACATAAAAGTTGCACACTGTTCCTTAATCCAGCCTGTTTCCTTTATGGGATCATCCATTTTTATAGCTTCATCTTTAAAACATTGTCAGCATTTTCTCTCCCAGATAGATGTTTTCAAATATTACATACACGTATTTGGTCAATAATGAACTTCCCACATGGAAACATTTCCCTCTGCTAGCTTTTGTAAATATATGTATATTTTGTTTGATCAGAGCAGTAAATAAAGCAGATATTATTAGAATCTGCTTCTCTGGGATGCGTCTGTGAACAGCAAAATTGGGAATTAGTGTTTCGCGTATTTTTGCTACGCAATCCTGAAATCCCTCTTTGATAGTTTTGCATTCAAGCATCTTCGCTCGAGCAGCAAAAGCTGAGATTCAAAAATATTGCTGGTGTTTACTGCAGGTTGTGGTACTTTTACAAAGCATGAATGAAATGTACAGTAAAAACTGAAAGCAATTCTCAAGAGTTTCACATTTCCCTGAACTTTTCTCAAGAGAAGAGTGCTTGGTTTACTTGTGCTGAAACCATATAGTGTACATTGAGTCTGTCAATATTCTCAGTCTTGTGATGTGAGTGACTCTGAATGCAGGCTTGACTGATTCTCTCTGTTTCCTGTATGAGAGGGGTGGAGGTTCATGTTGCCCCAGGTCTTTCCTTGATAAATGTTTCCCGTGGGAGTGTTGTAAGGGCACTTTGGGAAAGATAAAATGTTCTATTGCATTGCATGGAGAAGATATTATGTTGTGCATGAGGAAAAAGGACTCATAAATAATGCAGCCGTTTATACATTTCTTTCTTTTATATTAATGACACCAACGTAAAAGTGAGTTTATGGACTGGTGTATTTCACTGGCCTGGTTATAGGTTTCGGCTTGACCTCAGTTCTGAGAGGGAAGCTGTCTGGAATCACATGCCAGTTTTTCTCATCAGTAACAATTTCTAAACATACTTGGAACAAGATGCATTTACCTGAGAAGCAAAACTGCATGCGGGTTTAAGAGTAGCTCTGTTCAGAAAACCTGCTTCCCTATTTTATTTTATTTTATTGTTTATTTAAAGCATGCATCAAAGAACATTTAGTATAAACTTCTCTAAAATCCAATTTTAATGTATTACACAGTTTTACTTCTCAAGTAAATGTATTTTGTTTTTCCTGATATTTTTTTCTTGAGAAACAAGGCAAACATACCGATTAAGAATGTTTTGAGGGTTTTTTTGCAATAAAAACCCTGCATTGAGTTCACAGTGGGAGAGCGTTTGTAAGAGCTTGAAAAGCATAGCAAGTGTTAATTAGAAAGAGGTGTCAAATACCGCTGTGTTTACAAATGAATTGGTAATCTAGGCTTCTTTACAGTCAGGAGAGGACAAATCACACTCTGGTTTATAGTGACCAGTTGACACACACACACCTGCTCTCACTCACAGATGTAATGCATAAATCACAGATGGATGTATTGTAGCATGTATGTGTTTGATGGGGTGAGTAAATTTATGTGTTTGTGTCACACACATATCATATCCCTTGTGCCCTGCCACATGTGCTGGAGGCAGCGAGAAGCGAGCATCAGTTATATAGCACGTGTTCTGTCATCATGTGGAAGCATCTGATGCTTCATACGTAGGTGGAGTGTGTTCAGATCTCCACTTTATTTAAAACAGCAGGGCTGAGCTATTTAAACAGCCTGATATAAGAAATGACCCAACAGGGAGATGTTTGTTTATCTTACTGCTGCTAGACCGCTTCTTTATTAATACTCTTTCCCTGATATCCTTGCATAAAGAGGAAAACAAACCAGGTTCTATATACAGTAGGTGCAATGCAACACGTTTGTCTGATACCTATTTGTCTGTCAACATCAAATGTGAAAGTGCTGCGTGATGCCAGCCAATCATAGGATATTTAATGTTAATAATGTTAATAAGTACAGTTATATGGAACAGGATTATTTATTTATTTTATTAATTGTGACCAATGAAATGTGGATGATGCGAGTTTGCTTTAAGATTTTTTCAGATCCTATTTCCCCCTCATTCCACATCATTTCCTGTCTTCTCTCTCCACTGCTGCTCTCTACACTCTCTCCATTGCCACTTAATTTCCTGCCTTGTCTTTTAATAAATGGAATCACTTTAATCCAAGGCCTTGGATGAATTATCGATTTTCTAAAACTACAGAAACAGCCATATGATAAAATAGTGTTAAAAAATAATTGTATTTAGTATTAATAATAATCGTAGTAAAAGTAATTTGCCAAAAGACAGAATATTAATAATAATAATAATAATATAGTGGAAATGTGTCATCTGTGCTTCTGAACTGGCAACAGCAATATGATAAAACTGTAAATATATATATATATATATATATATATATATATATATATATATATATATATATATATATATATATATATATATATATATTAATAATAATCATAATTCTTCCATTAATTATTTTTTACAGCAGATGGTAATGAACCATATAAATCAGATGTTTTTAATGATATAATTAATGTATTAATATTAATACTATTTAGCAGAAATTTGTTATTTCTGCACCGCTTGCCTCAACAAATTGCAACAATGATTTTTGGAATTAATCAGACCAAATGTATGCTATTGGTTGAGTCAGAGTTGCTGTGTTGGAATGAAAACAAAATCTTGTCTCAGTCTCATTGTTTTTGTCATGTGACTTAATGCTTGCTTTTACAATGGCTACAAACATGTCTCATCCAATTAAATTTTATGTTGGAATACTCACACTTTATTCATGCTTTGTTTCCATATAGAGGCAAAGACAGAGTCAACCTGTTGTCATCTATGATGTCTCCTTTGTTCTGTCTTTCTTTCTACTGATTTCTTGCATTTATCCTCCACCCACTCTTTTGTTCCTTTCCTAAAGCTCTGTAGCATCATTGCCTTTGGGTGATTGCCCCCTGTAATGAAATTCTGCTCCACAGAGCACAAAAGTGAGAGAGAAGCAGATGATTCATGCCTCTGTTCTTTCTTGTCCCCTGCTTTGATGTGTCCTGTTTGCTGGTCTCCAAAGCCTGTAGTTGGTAGAGCCCTGCTGCCTCTCTTTAGAGCTGCTGCATGCTGGGAAATAAACCAAGCCTGGAAAGGAAATGTCCAGAATCCAGCTCATTGGGTTGGACGTTCTCTATGGGGCAACATGCACTTAAACAAAAGCATGCACATACTCACACTCACACTCACAAGGACATGCATGAGACAGACTCCTCAGCAGGACACACACCCTGGTGCATATGTAAGAGATCATGTACAGTCATCTAGTCATTATTGCAAAGTAATGGCTCTCGTTTCACCCTGAAGTGGGTTGTTTTGTGAAAATGACCAGCTGCCTGTACATTATCCCTTATATATTCACCAGGGAGAATGTCATTATCCCTCCTGCGACATGGCTGTTTACCAAATAAATCGATGTGCATGAAATATTGATCTAAGTAAAATTTTGTTTAATATGTTAGAAGAAACCAATACCACAGAGCGCTAGGAGAGGTATGAAACAGGTATACTGTTGTAAAAAAGTACACCCCATGGAAACTAAATGTTGGGGTGTACTTATTTTTTCCACAGCTGACAATTGAAATTCCGTTGATATTAAATAACTAAAACTAATAAATAACTAGAAACTTTGACTTTTTTTCAGTTATGTCACCCATCCATATTATCAAGACAAAGTTGCAGTCTACTGTTCAAAGTTTTGGAGGCAGTAAGATTTTTTTTTATTATTAAAATTAAGTATTTTATTCAGCAAGGATGCATTAATTAAAAAAATGAAGAAAAAAATGTATAACAGTTTTGACAGTTATGACATTTATAATGTCTCAAAGGTTTCTATTTCAAATAAATGCAGGTATTATGAACTTTATTTTGATTAAAGAATCCTGAAAAAAATCTATCATGGTTCCCACAAAAATATTAGGCAACACAACTGTTTAAAAAACAAAAAAAACGAAATATTTATTCACAAAATAATAATAATAATAATAAATCCTTACATTTATATAGCACTTTTCTGGGCACTCAAAGCTCTTTTACATAGAAGGGGGGAATCTCCTCAACCACCACCAGTGTGCAGCATCCACCTGGATGATGCGACAGCAGCCATATTACGCCCACCACACACCAGCTTATTGGTGGAGAGGAGACAGAGTGATGAAGCCAATCAGTAGATATGGGGATGATTAGGAAGCCATGATGGTCAGAGGCCAATGGGCAAATTTGGCCAGGATTACACCCCTACTCTTTTTCGAAGGACATCCTGGGATTTTTTTTAATGACCACAGAGAGTCAGGACCTCGGTTTAACGTCTCATCCGAAAGACGGTGCTTTTTGTCAGTATAGTGTCCCCATCACTACACTGGGGCGTTAGGACCCACACAGACCACAGGGTGAGCACCCCCTGCTGGCCTCACTAACACCTCTTCCAAAAGCAACCTAGTTTTCCCAGGAGGTCTCCCATCCAGGTACTGACCAGGCTCAACCCTGCTTAGCTTCAGTGGGCAACCAGTCTTGGGCTGCAGGGTGATATGGCTGCTGACATAGCAGAAATAAAGATGTTTCTTGAGCAGCAATCAGACACTGAAGACTGGAGTAATGATGCTGAAAATGCAGCTTTGCCATCACAGGAATAATTTTTGTAGATTTTTTTTTAAATACATTTCAATTATTTCAAATTGTAATAATGTTTCACAAAATTACAGTTTTTACTGTATTTTTGATAAAATAAGCAGCTTGGGTGAGCATAAGAGCCGTCTTTTTAAAAAAAATTCTTACTAACCCCAAACTTTTGAATGGTACTGCATGGTCCACATACTGTATGTTGGGAAGAAACTACTACTATTTTTTCGCAGAATTGAATGATGGAAATCGGTTGACAAATATGGAGTCATTACAGAAAAACACATGGCCTTAAAACACTGATTGACCAATCAGAATCAAGAATTGTACAGAGCCAGATGATAAACACACTTTCCATTAGATGAGAGAGTACAGTCTAGAGAGCTGTGTGGGTGTTCTCTCTTATCTCACTCTCTTAAGAAATTTAAAGGCTCACATAACCTCTCGCTTCTTGTCACTCATACCAAAATAACTCACCTTTACTGTATACTCACTCAGATACGATCAGCTGCAGGTTCTGCTGGTAAGACACAATAAATATTACATCAACTTCCCCTACAATGTGGTCGTGATCTTGTGTTACTCAGATAGTGTCATTGTAACTGTGTTGTATCTGTACATGATAATGTCTGGGTTTGTGGGGTACATTAAATCAAGCAGTACTTACAGTCAGCACAGATGATATCTGCACCTATGCTAGAAGGTCAAGGACAGAGCGACTGTGGTGTGATTCAAGACAGCTTATCACTGATCATGAAAAAAAAATTCCTTCTCTCTGTTCTTCATGTGTGTGTGTGTGTGTGTGTGTGCGTGTGTGTGTCATAGGTGTCCAGAATCTGCCCGACCAGACACCATTCAACCCTGTTTACTTCCCTGTAAGAAAGATTGCATTGTGACTCCTTTCAGTGAATGGACAACCTGCCCTACCACATGCCTGCCAGGTATTGATACAATCTCTTCACACAACCTTTAGCTGTGACATTTCAGTGGTACCTCACTTACAAGGATAGTTCACCTGAAAATAAAAAGTGTTTATTTACTCACCCTCATGTCCTTCCAAAATGGCATGCTTTTATATATATATATATTATATATATTATATGTATATATTTATTTATTTTTTTTGACTCAGCTCTTACCATTGTTTCAAAAGTTACACACTGTTCAAAAGTTTGGCATCTGTAATTTTTTAAAAACATATTTTTGTTAAATAAGTCTTAGCAGAAACTTTATATTTTGGTGAATAGAAAGTTAAAAAATAATTTAAACTAGGGCTGGGTAAAATATCGAAATAGATTTTCATGCGAATCTTGTCAGTAAAGCCGCTTCTGGTGATTAGTAGTAAATCTCCAGCACATGCTTTCAGATGGAGTGGCATTTACTACTAGGGTTGGGAACCGAGAACCGGTTCTTATTCAGAACCGGTTCTGTTTTTTTTAAAAGAACCGGAACCGTGAGCAATTTCTAATTTCGGTTCCAAAAACGATTCTGGTGCGACATGTGACCAAGCGCTGTGAGCAGCCTTGTGCCGGCGTTTCCTGTTAGGATGTCACAAACCAAATAACAGAAATGCCGGCCTGCCTCTTTTATTACTGAGCACATTGTTTCCCATGACGCGCACTCCACAGACGCGCCGCGTCTTTAACTGCCGAACACATAGTTTTCCATGACTGTATGCGCACTCGCGTCTTTGATAACTGTGCACGTTGTTTTTATTCATTTTAAATGTTTAAAAATGTGGAAACCACTCATTGCATCACACCATCTCCTGATTGCATTATTATTTGTAAAATATAACCCGTTTGAGTCAAAGAATCTTGGTGAATGGAAAAGTCAAGGCCGAAGCCTGGCACGAACTTAGGGTGTCCTGGAGCGTTGTAGCTCACATCTTCTCATAACCTAACAGAACCACCGACTCTGGGCGGGTCACTGATGTGAGGCCTTTAAGGTCTGAGAAGATTCACGCCTCTCAAGATGGGCTTGTCCAATGAGAAAGGCTGAAGTCCCAAGCTGGAACTTGGAAATGCTGGGGAGTTTTATGACCCTTTGTGTGGAAGCATGGTAATTTGCATATGGAACTTGAATCGAAATTAATAAAGATTCTCAGGACACTAATATATTGCCTATGTACCAACATATAATATACACTCTCGTTTAGATCATCAGAAGACTAATTCATAGATACTAAACATGGTAGGATTACATATAGGTAAGATGACAGAAACGAGTGGTTCCATCACAAGCCGGCATAAACAGTTTACAATATAACGACAACATACACAATGACCTGAAGGATATGTCTGTTCATTCAAAGAAAGGTTTTCCTATTAATTAATTAGAGAAGAGTCCATTTTTACTGTGCACTGTGGATTTCCTATGGAAAATGTAGTGAGAGGGGAAATTCTCAACATGCCATTAGGTTGTAAATGTATCTGGTCTAGCAAAGGTGTCATGGTTGCCATGGTAACCAGTGGCCTGTGGTCGTTCACAGACATCCTGGCACCCAGTCTATTGGGCTAGGGGTCTGTGACGACTTGTTAATCTAATGAATAACTGATTTGTTAAATCAAATGAAAAATTGTGTTTTTGATTGGTCCAGACGCTACATAGCCCTCAAGGGACTATTTGGCCAACCAGCTTATTCCTGCTTATAAAGCAAAATGTTACTGATAGTGTAAAAAACATCAACTTTGAAGCACATGTGACTGATGGACTAGCATTACTCAACATTACTTACTACCTTCCAGCAACACTACAATCAATGAAGGTAAAATGGTAAAAAAAAAAAAAAAAAAGTTAATTTAAATGGAACCGGAATCGGAACCGGAATATTTCTAATGATACCCAACCCTATTTACTACACAGAGCCGCAGTTCGGCTCTGTGTAGTAAATGCCGCTCCATCTGAAAGCACGTGCTGGAGATTTACTACACTCTAAAAAATGCTGGGTTAAATACAACCCAGTGCTGGGTAAAAGAGGGACAAACCCAGCAATTGGGTTGTTTTGACTTAGTGGTTGGGTTACTATCCAGAAGGTTGGGTTAAACATTTAACCCAACCGCTGGGTAAAAAAAAAACAATTGCTGGGTTTGTCCCTATTTTACCCAGCACTGGGTTATATTTAACCCAGCATTTTTTAGAGTGTACCAATCACCAGAAGTGGCTTTACTGACGAGATGCGCATGAAAATCGCATTAGATTTTTTGCACAGCCCTAATTTAAACATTTAATGCAAATAGCAATCTTTTGCAACATTATAAATGTCTTCACTGTCACTAAAGTGGCTTTCACACCGAAGAAACCGAATTCCTAGAACTATTGGCAGACGTACCCAATTTAGATGTGTTTGCACCGCAGGAGCTAGGAACGTATTTAGTTATAGGAACTCCGTTTGGGGGAACTAAATTAGCTCCTACCTCAGAGTAGGGTCTAAAACAGTTCTATAGGGGCTACCAGTGATGTAAGTGTACACTGATTGGCCAAACGCATACGAAACACCGGCTACCCGACATTTTTAAAAAGCCATGTAAAAATATTTTTTCCACGAACATGGAAAACGGCTATAACGGCATTTGTTGTATGCAGCATTGTATTCTTTTCTCAGCCTCAATGATAACACTACAAGTTGTCATAGGAGATTTAGTCAGATTTTCATGCTCTTTCAATCTTGTAAATTGTGCTTTTACATTCCCTCTCCGTTATCATGAAACCTACGACACACAACAAAAACAGCTCCGATCACGGCGTCCTCCATTGTAAATGCCGCGAATAAAGATGTCGCTGTCGAGGGAGAAATTGTTCTCTAGGAGCCACCCTGCTGGCTAGTTCCTAGAACTACGTTCCTTGAACTACGCGGTGCGAAAGCACCTTAATGCATCCTTTCTGAATACAAGTATTGATTAATCTAAAAAATTCTTACTGACCTTAAACTTTTGAACAGTAATGTACAGTATATCTAGCTCCAAGACCAAAAAAAGCACCTCAAATGTATCGTAAAAGTGGTCCATAAGACTTGTGAACAATGTTCCTTGTCTTCTGAAGCCATGAAATAACTTTTTGAAAAGACTGAAATATGTTATTATTAACTGAAAAACTTGGTAACCTTATAAGCTCTTGAAAGGACATTATAAATTATAGTATAGAAAGACCTGTGTTAACTTTCTTTCCACAGTAAATAAATAAATGTATTTTAGAAGACATTAGGAGTCCATTTGGGCATAAGAATTTAAGCAACTATGGCTGTCTTTCTTTAAAAGGGACTTTGAATAAAAAGTACAAAATAAACTATATGAGTTTATTGTGTTGCCCCATTTACATTTACTGTAAGTACCTTTCTATAAATTGATTTTTGCTTTTAAAAAATGCCGCAAATGCTGTGGTTGAATGTTGCATACATTGAACCAGGAATATTCCATTTCATTTGATTGAAAACTACATTGCCTAATAATTTGTCAATTTGTCTCTTATCTAATCATTTCTTTCTTTTCCAAAGAGAAAAAGCATAATATTTACAGAGTTTGTTATTAGAATCTAGAATCCATTACCTCCACGAGGACAGTGTGTTGATAATGAAAACAGGATTTACACTTTCACACGCTTGAGACTGCTAGGCTGTGATATCTTTCACCTCTGCTGTAAACATGGTAAAAGCCAGACCACATACATGTAGCTCATTCTCAGTAGGGGCTTTTCTAACCCACATAACAGTTTTATTACACTTTAATTAGACTATTAATTGACAATTACTTCCACTAAAGAAACCAGGAGTAAACAGGCATTTATTATGATTGAATAAAATGGTAACATTTGATGAAATGTTTTAAATAACTGATATCCCCTCTGTAAATAGTGTGCTTTACCCTGTTGGGTCTTCTGTTAATGAGAGTGCCTTCTTAATTGTGCTATTATCAGTCTTTTAGTAATTAGCAATGTGTAATGAGCCTTACAATGTCTGTTAAATGAAGTCATTACATCAGCTTAGGATCCATACAGGGAACAGGAAGTGAACTCCACCAGAGAATCATATCATTACCTCTTATCTAAAGAGATTTTTGAATTGTTCCTGCTGTGGTAATCGCTGTCAGAATACTAATAAAGTGAAAGATGGGTGAAAGTAATGTTTTCTTTGTGTGTGTGTACTGTGCAGTAAACAGCAGCATGCCCTCACAGTCACGATACAGGATCATCATCCAGCGGGCGGCCAATGGGGGTCAAGAGTGTCCAGATACTTTATATGAGGAGAGAGAATGTGAGGCTCTTCTGGTTTGTCCTATTTACAGGTGAATAAACTGCAATTGCACTAGTGGTTTACCAACTTGTCAGCTAGACTGATACAATGTTTGCGGTCCAGCCAGGTTTTAGTTTTGTCGAGTTGATAGTATCAAAACCATTTACAAATGCGCACAGCAGTTCAGAATCGCATGCACTGAAATGCATGAATAAATATATTATATGCTGTTTTTGTAAGCTTACAATACTATCCTCAAAATACACAAGTCACACATTGTAGCTGTAATTTACGGCGCAAGTAAATGCCAAGCTATTTGCGAGTTTCTCTGACTCATGAATATATGTGAATGCGATTTTGCAGTTGTAATAACTTATTAAATTGTTATTCTGCCAAGTTTATTCACAAATAGAAGCAGGTTGATTTTTTTAACACAGTCATAGTTACAACAGATAGCATTTTGTTTCTGTCATTTTGCCCCATTTAAACAAACAAACACTGTTGGCTCTGGAGCATTGTGTGACTCTTTCATGCTTTTACACCATGCAAATAAACCTCAATCAAAGTTTCACAGGGCATTGTTGAATAAATGCAGTGCATCTGACATATACTAACATTCAAACGATTAACAACGATGCATTAAATTGTACAGACTTAGATTATTACAAAAGATTTCTATTTTCGAATAAATAAGGTTCTTTTAAACTTTTTATTCATCAAAAAATTGTATCACACTTTCCACAAAAATATTAAACAGAGCTTAATTCAACATTAATAATGTTTAAGAAATGTTTCTTGAGCACGAAATCAGCATTTTTTTCATCACAAGAATAAATTACAAATTACTGTTTTACAGTATTTTAATTAAATAAATGTAGCCTTGGTGACAATAAGACATTAAAACAATAAAAAATGTTACCAAACTTTTGCATGTTCGTATGGAATAATTGACGATGGGTCGTTGCATTATTAGAACAACTCACATGGTTCAACTCGATGATTTCAAGACATTCATCAGGTTTTTGTCCTTAAAGTGCCTCCGTTGCTAATTCCAAAATGTAATTTTAGATCTAGTTACAAACAGGCTTGAGCCATTGATGGTACATAATACAACGGAATTTTTTGGCAAAAACATTGAAATAATTTGACATTTTTAGCTTGTTGTTTACTATATTTATTTGACTGTTAAGTGTTGTTGTGGGTTTTGATTCTTGTACTGTTGTAGGCTGTAAGGAGGACCTTTGACATAACTGAAATCATTTGGCAAAGTGATCTGGACATGTAATGGGGTTAAAACCTGCCTGGAACTACTTTAGCCATGCGTTTCCCTGAAAATAATTGCACACCGTTCAATCAGATTTTAGCATTCAACAGCCCTGAAGTATAAATTACAATAATTTTAAGCAGCATTTTCTTTGTTCATTTTTGTTTTTTTTATGCCTGCATGGAATATTTGCACTTTTAAACATGTATTTGCAGTGAATCTATTAGATTCATATTAACCATTGACCGCTCTGATCTCTAGAGGTCAACATTGGCATCCGCCATTAAAATCCCTTGTAGTTAAAACTATTGACAAGAAACTGTTTAGTATGCTGAAACAAAGTCATGCATTTAATACAGCACTTCATTACTATTGGTTTATAGGATTTATTCAACAGTCACATGTTTTTTTTCTATTTTGCAAGGCAAGACCAGGGTCACATGGAGTGAAAGTCATTTTCCTGTTATAGCCCCTGAAGAGAAAGACATTTAATTACATGTGTCATAAAAGACTGGTTAACACTGGTTTAAGTATTGTAACCAGAGTTCTATTGATATACAGTGCATTTATACTGGAAGGTCTGCTTACATGTGTACATCTTTGTATTATTTTTCGTATTTTATATATATCATAATACCTAGTATATTTATAAGTGCCTGTCTTGGACTGTAAAAATGCATAAAAAATATATTTCCTGGCAGCAATGCTGGGGTTTCTTTTCTAACATCAAACCATCACTATAAACCTTCATCTCTTTTTCAGATGGAAGACACACAGATGGCATCCATGTACTCTGGTCCCAGATTCTGTCCAGCAGGGAATGACGGGAGCCAGTGAATCGTGTGGCAAAGGATTAGAGATGAGAGGTAAGAGAACTGTGCTTTATGTAAAAGAGTGGGTTCTCATGGTACACTAAATAGCCCCCTTTGTGGCTCTCCCTCTGAGCTATATGCATCACTGTGTACGTATATGGCTGTGTTCATGGCTTTGAGCTCTGCTTTGTTCATTGGCACTGTACAGTGTGTGAAGTGTTAATGCAGCATGCTGCAGCCCCGGTGTGATTATGACAGAATGGAAGTGAAAGCTGTCAGACATCACACACAATGAAAGAGAAACACTCTGCCTTTAGGGCACAGGTGACATGCTTAAAAAAAAGAAAAAAGAAAGTGTGAAGTCACATAACCATATTTTTTTATTTACGGGGCTGTTCTTTATATGTGTTTTCTCTGTGATCTTTACTGTAAAAAAAAGATTTGTTTGAAGTTGTAAATAAAACAAAGATTATTTAAATGTTTTACAAGAAAATACTATTCCAGTCTTTCCTCTTTCAAAATGTCACGTTTAATTCAGTGTGTTTAACACCATAGTTTTTTCAGTGTAAAAATCTCAACATATTCTGACATTTTTGTGAAAATGTCAGTATTATTCCAGAAATGAATTGGATTAATTTCAGTACAGTTTCTGATGAAGTATATGTCATTACAGTTAAATATCAGAATTTTTCAGAAATGTTGAAACCTATTCGGTCACACTTTATTTTAAGGTCCAATTCTCGCCATTAGCAAGCCATTAACTACGACTTTTGACTCAATAAACTCCTAATTTGCTGCTTATTAATAGTTAGTAAGGTAGTTGTTAAGTTTAGATACTGGGTAGGATTAGGGATGTAGAATATGGGCATGCAGAATATGTGCTTTATAAGTACTAATAAACAGCCAATATGTTAATAATAGGCATGCTAATAAGCAACTAGTTAATAGTGAAAATCGTTCCCTATAAAGTGTTACCTCCTATTCAAAAAACACTAGTATAAATATCAATATATATAATAGATATCAGTACTTTAATTCATAGGTTGTTGATGAACATAAGTGCATTACATAACGCTTCAAAGGTCATTAGTTCTATTTCCATTCAAATAATTAAAATATAATCATTTTTTGATTTATATGAAAATATCAGTATTCCTATTTGAATGTACATGTTAAATATTATATTTGATAATGACGTATTGTAGTTATTATAAAGCGTTAATGTAAAAGGGTATGATCATTCAAAATTGGAAGACTAATAAATTGATTTTTCAAACATCTTCAATAATATTCAAACATTACGTATTTTTCACAGAAACCTTGAATTTATTGAGATCAAATTAAACTAAATGATTGTATCCAGAAGTTATTACATTTAGACACAATGTAGTATGACATTTTACTGACCTTCCCCGGTTTATCAGAATATCATATTGGTACAATGGAAGAAAGCTGACATTTTTGTGCCGAGTCAAAGGTCAGTATTATTCCAGATATTGAGTGCATTCATTAAAATTAATGAGGCCATTCATTAGAAATAATAAGTCTGTGTAAATGTTATCCTGCAATGGAAGATTCAAATAGCCAGCAGAAAGTAGCTGCTATCGTACGAGTGCCCCCACAGCAAGGTTAGGATACGGATTACATGAAGATGGACTGCAGCGAGCTCTTGCTTGTGTGCAGATTAAATTTCATGGTTTATTTAAACCAGCACTTGACATACTGTTGACCTCCCCTTGGATCTCACCGCATGAGGGCATAAATTAAAGTAAACAATAAATCTTGGCTAATTTACGAATGTTCACCAATTCGTTCCTGCTTTTTATTTCACGAGACCTAACAGCGAGTACCGCCACCACAACTGCAATAATCTTTTGTTTAAGTCTAGTGATTAAAAATTACGCAGGTTGTTTATGTACCCGGATGATTTATTGTTGTATTTTAGGCAAGCATCCCCGGCTGGTGTAATTTGATTATGCTTGGCGTACTCAGGTGGAGTGGTGGCTTGAGACAGGCACGCAGACGCTCACCGCCACACAGATGCAAATGATCCAGCAGCAGACTCCTGCTGTGTTCGAGAACACTTGCTCTATCAGCATCCTCCAAAATAAATAACAGGGCTAGAAGGCAATGCAGTAAATTACACTAAATGAACCAGAAAGACAGACACCTCTGCAAAACTAACGCCGAACCTCACACTTATTGTGCTTTCGCAGACAGATTTACAGCGACAGAGCAACCAGAAGTCATTAGTTTTCAGTGAGAGTTGAAAATGTGAGGTGATATGAGTGACTGTGTCTGTTGGTGATCACGTGACCGCCGCTGTCGCCCTCTTATTGGTAGTCTGGTCTGGTCTGATCTCATTACTATTCACGTATAATGTTTACAAACACGTTTTTGTGCGTTTTGTGCACATATGCTATAATGGACAGTAGGGATGTATTGACAGCATCTATAATATATGCACAGCTTTAGAAACAAACAAAATTGTATTAATCCTTTATATTACTTATATTAGAAATGTATTTGAATAGTTACATTTATATATATATATATTAGTTTTTTAAGCCATTAACACCATCCTTACTCTAAACCTAACCACCATATAAAAAATGTAACGGGCAAATAAATACACAATGGCTATATTTCTTTATTTATTTTTCAATATGTTATTATATACATGCCTTTCAAAAGTTTGGGGTCAGTAAAATTATGCTAATCCAGGCTGATTTATTTTATCAAAAATGCAGTAAAAAAAAACATAATATTGTGAAATATTATTACAATTTAAAATAGCTGTTTCATATTTTAATATTTATTTTAATATATTATTTCAAAATTAAAATTTATTCCTGTGATGGCAAAGCTGAATTTTCAGCAGCATTACTCCAGTCTTCACTCTCATATGACCCTTCAGAAATCATGCTTGTTTAAATCTTTTATATTCCATTTACTATTGTATTTACTCCTACTTTGTATCAGTGTAATGGATATAATACATCCTTTCTGAATAAAGGTATTAATTTTGTTAAAAATTGTATTGACCCCAAACCTTTGAATGGTAGTGGATGAAGAAAGTTGAATGACAGAATCAGATATCACACAGAATATTATCAGTTATCATTTCAAATTAATCAAATATGTTGGCAATGGCATTGAAGATATTTAGTAAATATTTAATTTATTTAGTAAATATAATCAGATCAACCTAATAATTTCATGAAGTCAATATTCTGTGAACCTAAAAGGATAAGGTGATTCATAATAGTTTTACATGCTGTTCTTGATCCACACCTTATAAATACCTGCTATGATCACTAGTGAAATCACACTGGAGGGTGGCATTATGTCACTGCTTGTCTGTGTAAAGTTAAACTACTCACCTGTGTCCCACTGCCAGCAGTCACTGTCATTCATATCGCCTCAAATCACCAGCTCTCATTGAAAATGTATGACTGAATTGCAGTGTAGGCAGCAACGTTCACACTGACAACGCTTAACACTTTGGAGGTCATCAAGTCACTGTAGAGTTGGTTTCTAGTATGAGTTCTTGCACAATGAACCCCCTACTAGCAACCAACAGTACAACGAACACTCCTGTCATAGTCCACAAAACCTGCACATGCAGAAATCTGTATTATCAGGTGGGTTGTATTATTGCATTATGACATGTCAATGACTGGAGTATTTTTGGATTTGCTGTGGATTAGCTGACATAAATTTGCATCATTTTCGGGGTACAGTGAGTACTTTTAGGGTGATTTTTTGCTGCCGGTGTTCGACGCTTTGTCGTTTCACACTTGGCTTGTACTTTTTTTTTAATCTTATTTTGGACGTTTTGAATTGAGCAACTCTTTAGTGCCCATTAAATCATGTCGGGTGTATTTAAGAAGGCACATATATTGATTACATCACACATACTAAACTTCATCTCACTTTATGGATTAAAATGTCTCAGTTGATCAGTTCCCATTATTATGGAGTGGCTGTGGGAGTGTCTTTCACAGTGCCTGTTGGTGTTGTGAAGAGCTTCAGTAGTTATTTAATTGGGCTTAGATTCCCACACATCAAGACCTTAAGTTTAGGAGCACATGAAAGGGTTACTCTAATGAAAAGAGTCGGGGTGGGGTGGGGGTGGGGGGGGGCTGTGCTGTTAATGAGTACTGAGGTGCTTAGCTGGCAAGTCTGACAGAGTCTTTTTAAGGGCCAAAAAAAGTTATCTGCCGTGTCCTTTTGAGTAGTCAGCAAACATTGTCACCTTTGTAAGTGGCTGCATTATTAAGTTGATCCCTGTCATGAGCCGAGATAAGAATAAAATGTTAACAATAGGGAGACGAGATAAATTGAAAGAGAGTGGTATAGGAATGGAGGAGAGAGGGGAAATAATTGTGCTAAAAATGGGCAGCCTGGGCGCTCCAATCAGAATGTCACTACTGTCAACCTTTCTGTCTCTGAGACACTGTGGTAACCGGGAACGAGTGTGAGGAAGAAAAGGAAGCTAGTAGACACAGAGTAGGAGGGAGAAACTGATGTCTACCCTGGGAGGCATATGAAATTCTAAAGAGTAACAAAGATAAATATCTCTTCTCACATCTGACATTTAACATTTGAATTTGAAGGGCAAAATTCTCTGAATCAATATTCAATCATGTGCACAATGTCATTTTAGGTACATCATATGTTACACAGTTCTCTTGATTCTGATGAGTTGCGCCATTCAATATTTTAGTTTTCGTTTCACACTTGGCTTGTACTTTTTTTTTAATCTTATTTTGGACGTTTTGAATTGAGCAACTCTTTAGTGCCCATTAAATCATGTCGGGTGTATTTAAGAAGGCACATATATTGATTACATCACACATACTAAACTTCATCTCACTTTATGGATTAAAATGTCTCAGTTGATCAGTTCCCATTATTATGGAGTGGCTGTGGGAGTGTCTTTCACAGTGCCTGTTGGTGTTGTGAAGAGCTTCAGTAGTTATTTAATTGGGCTTAGATTCCCACACATCAAGACCTTAAGTTTAGGAGCACATGAAAGGGTTACTCTAATGAAAAGAGTCGGGGTGGGGTGGGGGTGGGGGGGGGCTGTGCTGTTAATGAGTACTGAGGTGCTTAGCTGGCAAGTCTGACAGAGTCTTTTTAAGGGCCAAAAAAAGTTATCTGCCGTGTCCTTTTGAGTAGTCAGCAAACATTGTCACCTTTGTAAGTGGCTGCATTATTAAGTTGATCCCTGTCATGAGCCGAGATAAGAATAAAATGTTAACAATAGGGAGACGAGATAAATTGAAAGAGAGTGGTATAGGAATGGAGGAGAGAGGGGAAATAATTGTGCTAAAAATGGGCAGCCTGGGTGCTCCAATCAGAATGTCACTACTGTCAACCTTTCTGTCTCTGAGACACTGTGGTAACCGGGAACGAGTGTGAGGAAGAAAAGGAAGCTAGTAGACACAGAGTAGGAGGGAGAAACTGATGTCTACCCTGGGAGGCATATGAAATTCTAAAGAGTAACAAAGATAAATATCTCTTCTCACATCTCACATTTAACATTTGAATTTGAAGGGCAAAATTCTCTGAATCAATATTCAATCATGTGCACAATGTCATTTTAGGTACATCATATGTTACACAGTTCTCTTGATTCTGATGAGTTGCGCCATTCAATATTTTAGTATAATGACCACTAATTGCTTTATTATAATATGATAGTTTGAACTCAAATGAGTATTTAATGTTATGGGATTGGTAAGATTTAAAAAAAAAATGTTTATGTTTTTAAAAGAAGTCTCTTTAATGCTCACTAATAATGCATTTACTTGATCAAAAATACAGTAAAAACAGTTATATTGTGAATATTATTACAATTTAAAATATCTGTTTCCTATTTTCATGTGTTTTAAAATGTAATTTATTCCTGTGATGGCAAAGCCGAATTTTCAGCAGCCATTAATTTACTCCAGTCTTCAGAGTCACATAATCATTCAGAAATCATTCTAATATGCTGATTTAATCCGTGTATCATTCGATCACTCATTTTTTGATTTAATATTGAAAGTAGAAAAATTAGAAAACGGCTCCTTTTTCGTTTTTTTCCAAAAAAAACGAAAAACGAGAATTCAACTTAAATTTTCGTTTTTCGTTCAGGGGTAGAAAAATGAATAAACAGCTTGAATATTCGATTTCTACATATGTATTAAATCAAAAAACTAATGATCGAATGATACACGGATTTGATTTGGTTCTCAATAAACATTTCTATTTATTATCAATGTTGAAAACAGTTGTGCTGCTTAACATTATTGTAGAGAACAGCATTTATTTGAAATATAAATATTTTGTATCATTATAATTGTCTTAGCTGTCACTTTTGAGCAATTTAATGCACCCTCGCTGAACAAAAGATCTGAATAAAAAAAATCTGACCCCAAACGTTCAAATGGCAGAGTATTTGTTTATTATGATCTGTTTAAATATTTAATAATCAGCCATACAGTAAGATTGATTTTGCAGTAATCATGCATATACTGTACAGCTAACAAACTGTGCTCGAGTGCGAAAATACAGATAAAATGCCTTTGCAATCATAATCTGAATATGTAATTTTTATGACTAGAAACAAAAGCAAAGTGTTTTATTAAAACACCATCCTACGTCTGTATACCATCTCCACCCACGTTACTCTGAAGTGGAGAGGGCAAACACTTTGGTCAGAGAACAAAATTTGAAATTCAAATAGGAATCAATAAGATGTGTTAAAGGCATATGTGTACATGTATGCCTCTTCAAAGACATCAGAGGGTCACTTTCTGAGAGAACAGCATCGCATTGCCCTGGGGAAGGTGGCATTCCTGCGGATTTGAGTCAAATTTAATTTTGGCTCTTAAAGTGTCACTTCAACATGCACAGGGTCTTTGTTCTACATTCTAATCTCTATATTGATCCCTCTCTTCTGTGTTCGGAGACTGCCTGGCACAAACCTGCAAGGGTTGGAATTGTATTTCCTACAGATCTGAATCAATACATTATTAATTATCAATGTGGCATATGCAGTTGAGAGTGAACACCTACTGTACTAAAAACTAGCCAAAACAACAAACTCTGGGCATGGAGGCTCACGGTAGCTGAAATAACTATAAGAATTTCTTCTTTGTGGGCAATAAAGTGCAAAGGTTTGTTTTTTTTAGTTACTCTTTTGTAAAAGAAATGAAGAAGTCTTTATTATGTTTACTCTGCCAAAAAGTAGTGTGGAAGTACTGTTGTTCAGTCATGGTATCAGACAGTAAAATATGGTGCTTCAAAGAACACTATGACACAAAAAAAACATAATATTGTCATGGATCCAAAAAAACATGGTAACATACATAACATGGCTTATGGTAACATGGTACTTTTTCTAAATGCATTTAGTATTACTCTTAATACACTATGTTTAAAGGGGGAACTAAACTGAATATATTGTTTTAATAATTAAATAATTACAATTTATTTTATTACTTAATGCATTTATTTTATTTAATTAAATGATTGAATTAAATCAATTAAAGGATTGTAATATATATAAAAATATAATAGTTACATTATAATATAAAATATTTATAAAAAGGTTCTATGGTATTAATATAAACAAGAATTTTCCCTATACATCCAAAACTTTATTGGCTTACAAAATCACTATAATTCTACCACACTCAGCCAGAAGCTTTTTTGCCAGAAGCACATTCTGCTATAGACTGACATAAAGGTCTTCTAGCTTGGAAATATAAAGTTTTAATTAGAAGAGAGAAACTTTCATAATGAGCCCAAGAGCATGAGAAATGTTAGCAATGTACCATTGTGAGAGGTGAGAAAGGAAAATTTGGCAGTTTAGTGACACAGTTTACCTTACCTTCATTTGTTTCTTTGTCTACATCTGTCCACCGCATTCCTTTAATCTTTCAGGATGTAGTGTTGTTATCCTCATTTTGCAGGTTTAAGGTACAAAACTGTATTTGTGATTCCAGGACAACTGGTTTCACAGTATGTTAGTTAACATGGTTAACTACATTTGCGTTTATCAGTAGGCATGGGTGATTTGATTCATTTGGAATAGAACTGCTAGTCACTAGATAGCTGGTGAGGAATAAAAAAGACAGCGTCTGAGGATCTCTTTATCACACTACCATTCAAAAGTTTGGGGTCAGTAATGTTTTTTTTTTTTTTTTTTTAAAGAAATTAATGCTTTTATTTAGCAGGGATGCATTAAATTGGTCAAAAATGACAGTAAAACATTTTTTGATGTTAGAATACAGAATTTATTTAAAATAAATTATTTTATATTCTATATGTTTTATATGATATTTTATATGTTATTCTAAATTTTCTATTTATCAAAGAATCTTGAAAACGTATCACAGTTTTCACATTAAAACATTAAGCAGCACAGCTGCTTTTAATATTAATAAGCAGCAAATCAGCATATTAGAATGACTTCTGAAGGATCGTGCGACCTGGAAGACTGTTTGTTTTTTTAAGAAATTAATGCTTTTATTTAGCAGGGATGCATTAAATTGGTCAAAAATGACAGTAAAACATTTTTTGATGTTAGAATACAGAATTTATTTAAAATAAATGCTGTTATTCTAAATTTTCTATTTATCAAAGAATCTTGAAAACATATCACAGTTTTCACATTAAAACATTAAGCAGCACAGCTGCTTTTAATATTAATAAGCAGCAAATCAGCATATTAGAATGACTTCTGAAGGATCGTGCGACCTGGAAGACTGGAGTAATGATGCTGAAAATTCAACTGCCATCCCAGAAATAAAGTACATTTTAAAATATACTGTATTCAAATAGAAAAGTTATCTTAAAGTGTAAAAATATTTCACAATATGACTTTTTTCACCGTATTTTTGATCTAATAAATGAAGCCTTGTTGAACATAAGATTCTTTCCAACCCCAAACTTTTGAACCGTAGTGTATAAAAACATGTGGCCCCTATCAGTGGAGTTATATGTTAATACAGTTTCTTGGCAATGTAAATACTCTACATACATACTACTCTATACATAATTCAAATCATGTAATTTTAATTACACTTTTTTTTTTTTTTTTACATATACAGCATATATTAAATCCACTTGTGTTTTTTTTCTATATTAAATATTGCGTAATGTCTTGGTCAATGGAGAAATTAAGGTGTTTTTAGTCGTTCGTCAGAGATATTCTGTGGAAACAATGAGAGCTCAACCAATCCTAAGACTTGCTATTTAGTCTGAAAAGTTTCCTTCAAGTGCCTTCATTACAGCTATGTGTTAACTGTGCTCCCATGAAAAACCTCAACTGAGTGGACGCAAGCCATGCTGTGGAGGACTGTGTCAAAACATGTCATCATGTAAGGCAGAGTGGCAAATTTAAGTCAGTGAGCGAAAAGTCCTCGGCACAATCTCTGCTGTCTGCAAGGAATACATCGCCTTGTGGGTGGAATGGATGCAGTGTGCTGAAAAGGTAACAGGCGGCTTCACATTTGCCAAGCATATCATTTATCATCACTCAGTGGCGGTGATACAGAGAAGGCCTATTTCCATGCGAGAGGATCTGAAATCAGGGCAGTAGAAGAAAGAGTTAAGGGGAAAAGTTAATGGCTTTTATACCGTGGACAGTTTGGCTGCGAATACATTTCCATGAATTACATCCATGTTAATTCCTGAGGAATGGTTATGCTACCTATTTTCTGTCCATAAATGAGGCTGATTGGATTGGTGTAGACTGAAGTGTAGAATGACTTATGGTGTAAGCAATGTTTATAACATTTTTTTAAGTAAGCATCAATAACTGCAAACGAGCTGTTGTATTGAAAATGTGTTTGTCTCGTCAGGAGTGAGCTGTGTGGACGAGTATGATGAGATGGCAACCGTGTCAGAGTGTCTCCGGTGGGCCGGGCCGATGCCGTCACGCTTCAGGAGCTGCTGGGTGCCATGCAAGGATGACTGCACCTTCAGCTCCTGGTCGAAATTCTCTGAATGCTCTGGCTGTGGGAGCCTACGTACCCGTAAACGCACACTAACAGGTTAGATCCACTGAGAAAACTAAAAGTATTAAAGGTAAAAAAAATTCTGATTGATCAATGTGTATTTTGTAATTTAAACGTACAGTATATAATTATTGTGTGTGAAGTGTGAAAAGTCTGATATTATGCTTTGCAATGTAGTGAAGTGAATGTTTATCAAAATTAAAATACTTTCACAGATACTTACGGATACTTTCAAAAATGTAATTCAGTCCAGTAACAATGTAAA